AGCTCCGTCAGAATCCCTCTCCGAGCCGTTCCATACCAAAAGAGGTTTCAGACAGAGACCTATCGTACGACCTGCTTCTGGAGAAAATAGTTCGAGCTGCAGAACTAAAAAGAGAAGGTACCATCTTCTATAAGAGTGTACAGTTGCTAGCGTATCATCGGCACCAACACCCACGACGTTAATTCTGCTTTCTCCAGAATGGACAAGGAAGCAAAGCAAATGGGTATGCCAGTGAACGAGGGCAAGACGAAATATCTCCTGTCATCAAACAAGCAGTCGTGGCACTCGCGACTTGGCCACCACGTCACTGATGACAGTCATAACTTCGAAGTCGTCGATAATTTCGTCTATCTTTTAAGCAGCGTAAACACCACCAACAATGTCAGCCTGGAAATCCAACGGAGGACAACTCTTGCCAAAAGGTGCTACTTCGGACTGAGTAGGCAATTGAGAAGCAAAGTCCTCTCTCGACAAACCAAAACCAAACTCTATAAGTCACTCATAATTCCCGTCCAGTTATATGGTACAGAGGCTTGGACGATGTCAACATCTGCGAGTTTTCGAGAGAAAAGTTCTGCGAAAGATGTATGGTCCTTTGCGCGTTGTCCACGGCGAATATCGCATTCGATCGAACGATGAGCTGTATGAGATATATGACGACATTGACATAGTTCAGCGAATTAAAAGACAGCGGCTACGCTGGCTAGGTCATGTTGTCCGAATGGACGAAGACTTTCCAGCTCAGGAAGACCTCCACTTCGTTGGAAGGACCAAGTAGAGAAGGGCCCAGCTAAGATTGGAATATCCAATTGGCGTCACGTAGCGAGAAGAAGAAACGACTGGCCGCTGTTGTTAACTCGGCTGTAATCGCGTAAGCGGTGTCTACGCCAATTAAGAAGAAGAAAAATAAAAAGCCCACCAATTCTCTGTTGAGTTTAAGTCAAGACTCTGGTCAGGTGTATCAATAATTTTGCTGCAATTGTGCAATAGTCAGGTACTGTACAGAAACAATTTGAGTTTTTGAAAGTTGTTCTGTATTAATTAATTTAAGTATTTTGCAGGTCGACCTTTAGTTGCAACAACGGCTTGTAGTATGCTTTTGACTGACATTAATACTTTTAAATCATATTCGTCCGGTATTTCCGTCCTATTCTCCATTAATATATTATATTAATTCATTATGGATCTTCTCATTTTAGGTGTGCCCACAAATTCTCAATAGGAATAAGACCTACGATTTGGGGCAGTGCTAAGTTCTTTGTCGCAATGTTGAAGGAGCCAAGTTCTCTTATTTCCTGCAAACCCAAATCTAGACGCATTATTATGTGAATAGGACCGTATTTTAAGGTATTTCAGTGTTCCCCCGATAGCCTATTCCAGTCCAAATCATAACACTTCCTCCTCCATGCTGGCGGCGACTAAGGAAAATATTTTTCTTTCTCAAATCGTGGTAATAGTAAGACCAACCATCTGGATCATGTAAATTAAAAATGTTTCATCTTTAAAAAGCGCTTTTCCTTAATTTTCATCACCTCTTAATAAATTCATAACCGCTTTACGACTTCTATTTTAAAATTTCAAGATTTCTGCTATTTTTTTTATCCTCTGCTCAAAAATTTAGAGCAATTTTTACCTCTGTGTCATTGAGCAGTTTTCCCCGACCCATTTTTGTAGAAATTTGGTTTATTAATTGTTGTTTTTCAAAATAAATATCGCGATTCTATTTAATTTTTCAAAACACTAGCTGATGCTTTATTGGCGGTTAAACAGCAACTAAACATAATTATGCTAATTTGTGCTATCATTTTGACGCGTCATAAACAGTCTAAGAAAATGGCAGTTGTTTCTTTGTTTAAACTAATGTACCGTTATGTGCACAAAACCAAGTGGACTTTTGTGACTACAGTTGCTACACTTATTACAATTTAAAAAAAAACTCTTTGCACATGTTTTGAAGAGAAAATTTTGCAAAAGTTTAATTGTGCTATCTTTCTGTCGCGAACATATCTATTTTATAATTATTTTGGTTATTCTAACAAACCATAAGCCGATTAGGTCAGTGTTATATATTTACATAAACTTATGTACAGTTAGTGTCATTGAAAATCGTACAGCAAGTAAAATTTTAAGATTTCTCAACTATCTCTATTTTTTTTTTTTGAGAAAATTTAAAAATTTATACTTGTTATAGTTTATAATAGAGTAAAGAATAAAATGCAATGGGAATTATTTCTTAAACTTTTCACGTTTTTATGTCAAAGGCTAACCATTGCTCAAAGTTTGTCAAAGAGGGTGTCACTGAAAATCGTATAATTGACTAATTAGAAAAATTCGGATATTCTTCGAATTAAAAGTAAGGAATCGAAACGTATGGATTTGAATCGATTTATATTTTGTATTAAAGTGGTCATTGGACTAAGTTTTTCATAAAATATATAAAATTTTGGTAAAATGAAGCAAACAACTATTGATATGCGCGAACTGGCAATTAATCATTACAAATTGGTAAATCGTATGGAGAAATAGCCTAAATAATTAATCAGAGTCGAAGTACTATTCAGTATATTAATTCAAGATATAAAAAAGATAATCGGGTGGCAAACAAGGTAAAAAAAATCAAAAAAAAGAAAAAGCTGACTGCGACTGACGAACGATGGATTATAAGAAGAGTTAAGAAGAGCCCTACCATTTCCGCTTCTAAAATTGCCACAGATCTTAAATTTTACTTAAGAAAGGAAATAAATGATTCAGCTATTTTTAGAGTGCTTTGAAGAAATTATTTCCATGGCAGAGTGGTACTCAACAAGCCTTTAACTAACAAGCGTAATTGAAAGTTTCGTCTTGAATTTGCAAGAACTTATCTTAAGCAGCCTGCTCACTTCTGCAATGATGTTTTATTCACGGATGAGTCTAGATTTAACCTTTTTATATCCGTTGGAAAAGTAAATATGTGAAGAAAACCCAGCACTGCAATGGATCCTAAAAATTGGCGACCGACAATCAAGCATGGGGGAAGTTCAGTGATGGTGTGGGAATGTTTGTCTGCTTTTGGTGTGGGAAGTTTGGTGTTCATCGGTGGTTATATGGATCAGTGGAAATATCTGAATATACTTAAGAAAAATCTTAAGCAGACCACTGAAAAATGGGTATTGCAAGTACTTTTAAGCTGTACGCTGACAACGACCCAAAGCGTACAGCACATTCGACAGGAATGTGGGCACTCTACAATTGTCCAAAAGTGCAGAAAACTCTAGCACAATCCCCAGATGTCAACGTCATTGAAAATATTTTTAATCATTTGGACCAAAAAATTAAGGCTCTGTCCACATTTCTGCCTTAAAAAACGCGCTCCAAAGTGAATAGAGTAAAATATCCCCAGATTATTATAAGAAGTTGGTTGATTCAATGCCCAAACGTCTAAAAGCTGCTGAAACTAACAAAGGTTCTCCAGCTGAATGTTAAATATTAGTTTTCAGCATTGAAATTAATTTTTTTGTATTATTTTTGTACTTTCCAATTGAAAAAATATGCACTTTTTACTGATTACTTAGCCAAGAGTATTAAAATGAGCTGTTTCTTGTTATTACTATTAAATATTTTTAAGTTTTGTGAATAATTGAATTGAAGTTTTTATATCAAATCCCTAAAAATATAGTATATTGGAGTTATCTGAAGTAGTTAGTGGATACTAAAGTACTTAAAAAGTTTGCCTGTACGACTCAAGCAATGCAATGTACATTGCTTGAAAATGTGTTCACGGAACATTAGGGTGAAAACGAATGCTTTTTGTTTTTGTTTGTATCCTGAAGAGTTAGTTTGTAGACATCTCTAAGTAAGTCTCTCCAAATATGAGCTCTTAATTGGATTGGGAACGAAACATTCGTTTTTTTACCCATCCTACGCAACATTCTCCCAATATCAACCACTGTCCAAATATCTTCCAAAACTTTTTTTTGTCAAACTTTTCTTCATCAATTTTGTTTTATCAGTAAAGCGTTATAAAAATCTCAGAAATACTTTTTGCATTGGAAGATCTTCTATAAGTATAATATTCTCAATCTTGTGTTATTTCCGAAACTGAATACAACCAATCTTTCACATTTCGCAACGCCACGGACTCGGGTCAGCAGCTCGTCAACCAATCTGAATAAGTGTGAGAAAATCATATTTTGTAGTAAATAATTCGGCTTAGCATGTATACAACATTTTCTTCACTCAACTTAATAATTTTCTTGTTATTTATTTACGATATCTCTTCTGTAATAAAATACTCCACAATTTTATTATATGCCGACGACGTGAAACTTTTCAAATCATATGCTTCAACTTATAAAAGACGTCTGTTGTAAACCGATTTAAACAATTTGGTTGCTTGCTGTGATACATAGAAATAATTTGCCATTGAATTTCAAAAAAATATAAGACAATTTGCAATTTATGTAACAAAAAGCTATAGACTACAACAAGTTCGTAATTTTGTTGGTTTGGGAGGTACTATTAACACCAAGCTTAATTTTGGTCTTCATATTGATAACATCGTTTTTAGAGGTTTTTGTTAAACTAAAATAAATAATTTAGGGATCCTGTCTTAATGATGACTTGAATGGTATACAATTGACAAAAGTCTAGAATAATCTCTTCAAGGGCAATTCATTTATTCAATGTTGTTTTTTAACCTTTGGTCTCTCTAAATTGTAAGGTAAAACCTATTATTAAAGTTAGAAAATATCTGAAGTCATCTAAAAGGGAATGGAAGGAATTTGATTTATATGCTATATCAATAACTGATCTTCGATGAATGTATCAATTCAATTTAATTTCGATTTTGATGCTATTTATTAATTTAAGTTATTAAATTTGTCAAAGAAATTATACTTTTATAATTATTATTTAATTTCACTACCAACTTATAAAGATGTAGCATTATTTTACAGGTGATGATGTTTTTCAGCAACTATATTAAAGGACTGAACTTTTAAAATAATTCCTTGACTAATTACCTCGTCTTTTACGTCAGCTACTTTTACATTAACTAAGGAACAGGATCGTTTGTTTTTACATTTACGTCGACGCTTCCGTTCAAAAACTGCTTTGGATCTGGTCAGATGCTCGAGATGCTGTGGTGAAGTCGGTTGCTTAATATCTGCCGCAAATATATCAATAGCTGACTGTTGCAACGACTGTGATGCTGCTTTGTATACTGTTTCTTTATGTTGCAAAGGGTTTAAGTCTTGTGCTTTGTTGTGAGATTTTAAAGTAGCAAACTTTGACAGCTTGGTTTTTGATTTCGCAGCAGTGGTTTCTGTTGTTTTTACGGTTGCAATTCCTGCGTTTGTAACTGTTGATGGCGATATTTCCCTTGTTGTTATTGACTTCCGCTCTATTGGTTTTAGGGGTAAGTCTGACATATTACGGGCACATTGGTTATGGTTAGAATAGAATTAAGCCTATGTGTTGCTAAGCTTTACAATTGAAAGCTTAAAGGCATGATTAGCGATATTGAATTACAATGCTTACGTACGATTCACTTTAAAAATTAAGACCGTGTGATCTTGTGCCAAATAAGTTTATTTCAATCGCTCGATCTGAAGTAGTATTGTCAAGCTTTCATGTAAAGAAAAAGTATAAATATGCATATATAAGTTATGTATCTTAAATATAAATATTATTTTTACATTGATAAGTATATCTAGCAAATTATTTATGTGTTAGTAAGCAAAACTTGGATACTTAAAATATTTAAAAACTCGTATGGTCAATAAAGTTGAGATCAAGAAAAAAAATTATGATCGATTATTCTGAAGCTATATTATACCCTTCCCGGGTACATTTGTTTTGGGAGGGGAGGGGGGTGGAGGTGTTAAGGCTGTAAAGCAAACAAAAGATATTTTTGTGTTTTTTTTTGCGGCGACATAAGTAATATAATGTTATTAAACTTAATAGCATATTATTGTACAACTTTTGAAGTATATTAGAAAAAAATTTCAATGAAAAATATTAATAAATAAATCTGTGACGGTGAATCTCCAGAAGCGCATTGAAAAAAAGTGGAACATTGTAACTCGTTACCGGACCATGCAGGTTAGGTTAAATTTGCTTTTGAAGTAGAAAATAATTTTCCAATTTTTTTCAATAACAGAAGGTGGCACTAAAGAGCAACAAATATTCATTCACCAGTGCCACGATGATATATGCAAAAACTATTAAACGTTTGCTGCCAGAGATACAAATTGCATTCCAAATTCAAGGTTATTTAAACTTAGATCCCGTAACTAACTTTTTATGCCTGTAACAAGTACATTATATTATTTAATCTGTTTATTTGTACTTTGTGTAGATAAATAGCAAATATACTATATATAGAAGCATATTTAAAAACATTAATTTATAAATTAATTAGCATTTACAAGTAACATTTTTACAAAAACAAATTCTATAAGGTCTTTTCTAACATTGAACTTTTTGAAAAATAATAATTTTGATTGCTAAGCGTGCTTACCTAACGGCTTTGCGGATGCAGGATGTTATAATGTTCTTCTTCTTTACTGGCATAGACACCGCTTACGCGATTATAGCCGAGTTAACAACAGCGTGCCAGTCGTTTCTTCTTTTCGCTACGTGGCGCCAATTAGATATTCCAAGTGAAGCCAGGTCGTTATCCACCTAGCCTCTTCAACGTAGTGGAGGTCTTAATCTTCCTCTGTACCCGGGGGGTACTGAGTCGAATACTTTCAGAGCTGGAGTGTTTTCGTCCACTCGGACGAAATCGCTTAGCCAGCGTAGCCGCTGTCTTTTAATTCGTTGAACTACCATATGTTAATGTAGTCGTATATCTCATACAGCTGATCGTTCGATCGAATGCGATATTGGTCGTGGCCAACGCGCAAAGGATAAAACTTTTACAGAACTTTCCTCTCGAAAACTCGCAACGTCGACTCATCAGATGTTGTCATCGTCCATGATTATGCAACGTATAGCAGGACGGAAAAATGAGTGACTTATAGAGTTTTGTTTTTGTTCATCGAGAGAGGACTTTACTTCTGAATTGCTTACTTAGTCCGAAGTAACACCTGTTGGAAAGAGATATCCTGCGTTGGATTTCGAGACTGACGTTGTTTTTGGCGTTGATGCTGGTTCTAGGATAGACAAAATTATCTACAACTTCGAAGGTATGACTGTCAACAGTGACGTGGGTGTCTAGTCATGAGTGCGAAGACTGTTTGTTTGATGACAGGAGATATTTGGTCTTGTCCTCGTTTACCACCAGACCGCGATTGACCATAACACGTTCGGTATGGGATACATACCGAGAGTTGAAGAGGGAAGCGGGACGCATTTACAGACAGAAAAAGAGAGAAGCCGAGTTGCGTGAGTAAGAAGAGCTTGATAAGCCGGCCGACAAGAGCAATGCTCGAAACTTCTACGAAAAGATGCTGCGACTAACAGAAGGTTTCTAGACCCGAGCATACACTAGTAGAACCACCAGAGGTGATCTGGTAACCGATGCTGAGAGTACAATAAAGTTATATAACTATCGTGGGATAAGCCTCCTCAACATCGTGAGCGCATTTTGTTTAAAAATTTAAGGCCCACCGTAAACAAACTAATTGGACTTTATCAGTGTGGCTTTAGAACTATAAATTCATTAAATCTTAATACTATAAGCTCCGTCAGGACCTCTCCAAGCCGTTCGATACCAAACGAGGTTTCAGACAAGGCGACTCCCTTTCATAATGTTCTTTGCTCGTTGTCCACCACAAATATCGCATTCGATGGAAAGATTAGTTTTATGAGTTATACGACGACAAAATTAACATAGTTCAGCGAATCAAGAGACAGCGTCTGCTCTGGCTACGTCATGTCGTTCGTATGAACGAAAACACCCCAGCTCTGAAAGTATTCGATGCGATACCCGTCGGGAGAAGGAGAGGAAGTAGGAGACCACCACTCCGTTGAAAAGACCAGGTGGAGAGGAACCTGGCTTCGCTTGGCAGCGTAAGCGGTGTCTACTCCAGTAAAGAAGAAGAGATGCAACATAATCAGCGCGAAATAATTACTGCAATATTGACGCAAAATATCAGTAGAGTATCAGCTGAGCATCAGCAACATAGTATCAAGTTAGCAACAGGATTTCAGTGCTGCGGTAATTATTAAGCAGCTCGAAACCAGCCTTTTTGATTCCCTATTATCAAATGTTCAAGGAAGTACAGCAAATGAAACCATCACTTAAGTGGAAGGAACTTTTAATGATCAAATCACCACTCATTTTCATTACTATATATTTGTCGTGTCCATTAAATTATTTAAAAATCAACTTGCATGCTGAATATCGAAAAACATTAAAATATCGAGGTTTAGACTTAGATCTAAACCAATTTTATTTTGAAGCGCTAACCACAATAAAAATGATTTACGTTGATATTTTCACTAACCTTATCAGTGGTCTTCCGGTCCCCTCGCGAACTAGTCGTTCAGTTTTTAACCTATCGGTCTAAAATTTTACACACGTCTTTTCCTCTTCAAGAAGCTGCAAATCGATCGAGCAACTATATCATCTAACTTCCATACAAAGTGATCGATCAAAATCTAGTTTTTGACTAGAATTTTACAAACTGACTTATCAAAATAATATTCTTGTAAATAAACGTTTTTATTTGTGAAGCGTATTCTAATTTTGGATTTTTATTTTCAAAAATTTAGATTTTTTAAGGCCAATTAACTGTTGATTTTTTCGCAAAAATTTAGAAAAAAATTTCCTGAGGCCGTCACTTTGTTAATTTTGAAAAAAAAAAATTCTTTCGATGAGGCCCATTATTATCTACTAATAAAACTATTTTTTTTTGTCCGATTAATTTTAAATGAATCTTCAAGTACTTATGGTTGTCACCGCAAGTACCTTTTTTGTGGAATAGGGTCAACACAAAAAAAAATATAACTTTGGAAATTAAAATGTTTTTTTGGTTTTTTTGAAATTTTCGTGACTTCAAGTCAACAAATTCTATAATAATGCCATATTACTACTTTTGTAAAAATTTAATAGCAAAAAAAAATCTGAAAATTGTAGTTCTTTCGTGCCTCTGACTACCCATAACCCCTTAACGAGTTTCGCTGTTCTTGCAGAGAACGACGAGGTTTAATTTAGTCATCCATACGCTTACGTAACCACATAGTAATTACACCTATTAAAGTTGTGTATTGTTATTTGAAGAATTAATTAATCGCATTATGACGTGCGATGGTGTGTGAATTGGTGCTGAGTATAAAGACCCTTGAATACACCACCAGCAAAAAAATATAGAAGCTATCAACAGCACCATTGTACTGTGCAAGTCTATACATCAGACCTCAGTCTTAACTCATTTATAACGTACTATTCTAACTCAACCGTCGCCAACAAAAGTTTGCGAAAAAGTCCTGTCAGAAAACAATCGCTTCATGATAGGCACTCTAACTTCTCGTCATGCATGTTAATAATGCCAAAAGTACTTATACGACTATTACAGTAGTATGTTTGGCATACAGCTCTGTATGAAGAAAGTTATAAATATTTAAAATATTGTAATATGGAGAGCACTCGTTTTTGACAATAGTGGAAGAACTCTTTTCCTCACAGGGTATATAATTAGCCGAATCCACCAATTCTACTCAACTATATATAATACTTTGTTTGTATATATGTATAATAAGGGCCAATGGTTAAATTGTGCATTACATATTTATTTGTGCAAGTAATTTCAACAACTCAATGTTGGATCTCAGTGTAAACAACTTGTTATAGCTGGCTACACAATAAAATTATTGGTTACCCTATAGAAAAATTTTCAGCTACTTGCTACGGAATTGATGTTATGAGGGCGGGTTTCATTTTACCTTTACCGCAAGACCTTTTACTTCTCACTAACATCCGTCTATGTTAAGAAACATATTAATTGTACGGCAGTTTAAAAAGTTATATGTACATATATACTCGTATGTATATAACTATTGGAAGATCATCACCAACATTATAACACAGTAACGCGGAATTTGAGTATTTATGTATTATTTTATGCAAATTCAACAATAATGCATATATATTATTTAAAATATGTTACATTTTACCAAAAAAAAAATTATTTTTGATATTTGACAGTGAACTACAATTAACATAACTACAAAAATAGATAGATTTTAGCGATTTTAAATGTCATAAGCTTTTTGATTGAGACTTTTCGATTTTCATGTTATTTACTTTCAAATTTGAATTAAACACGCTTGTAATATATTAGATGTAGTCAGTGGAATGAAAAAATTACAATTAAATAATTTTTTTTGACGGAAAAAGATTATATTTTCTAAACAAAACATAGCATCTTTATATAAGGTTTCGACTTTTCGAAAATAGTACTTTTAAAACTATATTTTACTTGCCATCAGGGAAAGGTAAATAAGACATAAACTCAACCGAGGTGGCTCAATTTAATGCATTGCGATGATGTGCAAAATGTCAACCAGAGAATCGGAATTCATTACAGAAGGAATATGAGGTTCGGACCAATTTCTAACCCAATTCTATTAATAGTAAGTGATAAGCCACATAATTGTTAAGAACACTTGTCTACTTA